AAGCTGTTTCAGTTCAATATCCCAACTCTACTGTTTAAGTAACAATTTTGGACTAAAGTACTCTGAATAACATGCATCGTTGTGTCTAGTTTCACTTCTTGTTGCCAGCAACTGTTTTGCTGTCTGTTTTTCACACCAATTTGACATTTGGGTTAGGCAACAACAGATTTGCTAACTTAGGCTTGAAGATACAGTACACCCGTAAGTCAACATTCGTGCATTCATGTTATCAGATTATTCTACTTGTACCGTGAACATACACAACTTTACACATTATTAATTTGTACATCATTTCCTTGTTTCTTGTTACAGCCACTTGAACTGGGGCATAAAATTCATTATCAGGTGATAGGAGATTTACCTTCGCAAACATAAGACCCTGGGTTATTTACACAATATTGTCCAGCTTCACATGTGTCTTCTTCATCACATTCATTCTTGTCTGAAAAAGGAGACAGTTTTCAACTGAGTATGGTAGTCTATGAACAAACCAAGTGGCCCATCAGACAAACAACAAATCTGAAACCAGCCATGATCTGTGTACATGACTTTTCCATCATTTAGTAACTAATTTAACTCAATAAACCATTTTAAAACTGATTTAGTTTCAACATATACCTTTACAGCCATCCTCATCTGTCATTTCCCAGCCTGCTTTGCACTTTTCGCAATCTTTCTGAGAGCCGCCACTGCAGCCATCAGCACAAGACTTGTGACAAGCTGTTTAGAAACAACAGTTTGCAATCAGTGTATACCAGCATGTAATTACCATATCTGGTTAATGTTCTTCAACAGTACATGTACCAACCGCTGTTAACTGCTAATTAGATGACAAAGCGTTTCTTTGTCTTAGATGGAGTCATACATTATCAAAGAAAGAAAACTTTCAATTGGTTTTCAGTTGGATTTCTTCCCTGTTTTGAACAAAGTTCCCCACACAAGAATCCTGCACTTATTGCTATTGTCCTGCAGTAGACACATGTACCCATCACCTACCAATTTTTTTTTCAGTTACAAACCCCTTCCATATTTTCAAACAACCACTCAAATAACACCAAAATAACTTGCAAACTTGAAAGACCATGTAAAAGACTAACCTGTACATTTGGTTTTAGAATTTTCATCTTGCTCTTCAAAGTACAACTCAGCACACTCGTCGCACAAGTCTCCTTCATATCCACTGTCACACGAACATTTTCCTGTCCCCTCCCTAGTGCCATCACCCTACAAAAACATTAATAATCAACATGCTGGTACATCAGTAGTAGTGAAAACCAAAATGGCCTTATGCTTAGGGCCTTGGACTTCAAATCAAGCAATCTGGTCTCAAGCCCTGGGTGGGGTACATTTTGTCAGTCATGCTTAATCCTCATTAGAATTATCGGACAAAGCTCTCGAGTCCAGTTACTACCCTTGAACTCTTATTTTACCCTGTCTTCAGAGTTCACCAGTGACAAAGCCCATGGACTCGAACTCTGGCACCGAGGCTCTCAAAGCCTATGATCAGAGACTAGATTAATTTTTTACCTCCTGAATGGAGCGGCTCCTTTGTCTATACCTGGCATAAGACGGGAATCATATTTCTTGCTTTTAGCTCAGTAAGGCTGACTAGCTTACTAAGAGAATAAACATTTTGTTTATCTCAGTCATGTGTATAACTGATAGTCTAAAACTTTAGTCTTCGACAGTGCACTGCTATAAGGATATGCCAGTGCTGGATACTAGAATACTAGCATATCAGAATGTTTAGATTCAGTTGATAAACACTGCTGTGCTAGGCGTACAAAGGGTGACTAGAATACTAAGCTACAACAGACACTGCTGTACTAGGCGTACTAACGTACTAAGGGTGATTAGTATCACGCAACTAGTGGACTAATGCAAATCCTGCATTTTAATTGGCTACGCTACTAGAGGACTGTTAGTAATAGTCCTTGAGTAGCGAAATTGGCACAATCGAGCGTGACGCTTTCTCTCGTTCTATTCCCAGATAAATATTTCTTCAACTTGCATTTGCTAACTTTATTACTGCCTTTTCTGTCCGACTAGTAGGGTGATACTAAAACAATTAGACCCTTCGCCCTCAAGGGCCACGGGTCTAATTGTTAACTAGAATACTACGACACAACAAACACTGCTGTACTTAGCCTGTGAACGCAGACGTATTTCCAGCTGTCACTTGGTTCTGCCGAAAAATAACGTCTGTGAACCTGAGCCAGGAAACGATTTCTGTGACGTAATGACTTTTGTCTCTCCTTGGCCAATCAGATTCCAGGATAGAATGAAACTTGAGTGCTCCTCGCAGCCAATACCTCGCGCAGTAGTTCTGGAGTTATTTAAGCTAAACTGTGATTGGCTTAGAATTTCTACGTCACAGAAATTGTTTTCTGGCTCGGGTTCACAGACGTTATTTTTCGGCAGAACCAAGTGACAGCCAGAAATACGTCTGCATTCACAGGCTATGCTGTAGTAGGCGTACTAACGTACTAACATACTAAGGGTGACCAGAATACTAAGCTACAAGAAACACTGCCATACTAGGCGTACTAACATACTAAGGGTGACCAGAATATTAAGCTACAACAAACACTGCGATACTAGGCGTACTAACGTACTAAGGGTGACTAGAATACTACAACACAACAAACACTGCTGTGCTAGGTGTACTAATGTGGCAACATACTAAGGGTGACCAGAATACTAAGCTACGACAAACACTGCCGTACTAGGTGTACTAACATACTAAGGGTGACCAGAATATTAAGCTACAACAAACACTGCCGTACTAGGTGTACTAACATACTAAGGGTGACCAGAATATTAAGCTACAACAAACACTGCGGTACCAGGTGTACTTACGTACTAAGGGTGACTAGAATACTATGACACAATAGCGAATACCTCGCGCAGTAGTTCTGGGGTTATTTGAGCTAAACTGTGATTGGCTTAGAATTTCTACGTCACAGAAATCGTTTTCAGGAATTTACTGCTATTATTGCAGTAAAAGATGATTTCAATTATTGAACTTCAGTGTGCAAAGAACATCAAATTGGATATCATGGAGCCACTGTACTGCTTGTGGATTTTCCGGCCAGGCTAATAGATTCTGTCCTTCACTTGCATGATACATGTAGGCAATTCAATTTACAGAAGTACTGCAATTACAGAATCAGATCAATTGTTTGGGGGGCTAGTGGGAGTGGCGTTAATTGGGCTAGTAAAACACAGTAAATATTTTAGCTTACACACTGTAGTATTCTTATCATGTCACGATAATTTAATATTATTACCTTTACAATCTGGACCAAAAGTTCCATCTGGGCAGCAAACTAGTTATAATGAAAAACACTAATTTCAGTTCATAACACTGCAGTAGATCTACTGAACATAATTTACAGAAAAAAAAATTGCGTTTTCCCTGTCATTTTCAAAGTTACAAAGATGGGTGGTTCGCTCAGTCATATGTAAATTCTCTGAACAAAATTTCATGAGTCATTTTATTTCAATCCCTAAAGTTCATTTCCCATGACAGGTTTAGTAATTAAAAAACAGGCCAAAGAAAACAAATATGGAAAAAAAAACAAAACAAAACAAAACAACAACAACCAAAAAAACCCAGTAATTTGTCTGGTCTGGGAAAAATGGATTCTTCGATCTCCTTTATGGTTCATGACTATGACAGACTTCCTTTGTGTTGACCTAGTATCTTCCTTCCTTCCAGTATTACAAAATAAACAAATCAAAAGGAAAATCACAAATTAAATAAACTGGTGTTTGTCTAGCGGGTGAGTCATAAATTAGAAATGGGCAGAAATTTGGCAGTCTGTATTTTCAAAATAAGGATCAAACTAACTGACGCAGGCTTACCTTTCAATTTGTCAATACAAAGCCACGTCTTCATGTCATTATTTTTGAACTGGCTGTAAATAGGAAATTAATGAACAGAAAATTAAGAGCTGATGGCTTTTTCTTTCGTGTATTAAATGTTTATGTACTGTAGTCTCGCTCGAAACAAGCTAGTGAATACTGGGTCACAGGCAAAAATTGTGGACATTAATTGAAGTCAAGTTCCTTACGGCAGAAAAAGATATTTAAAGACATCTGTTATTAAATACTGCAAGAGTGGGAGAATTTGATGACGTGAAAGGTGCGAATCCTATTGGGGACTTGAGGTACAGTGGATTTTTTTCCCATTGTCCCAAAATTGTGATGCATGTAAGCTGATCAATGCCTCATCGAAAAGTTAAGAAAACCATGTCTGCATGTACTTTCCGACCCCTGTAGGATATGGGACACTATTTAACTCAATAGACATAATTTAAATACACACATGTGTACATGTATCAGGTCTGACAATATCTAATACTTTGGATGTTGAAGGTCAAGGCTGGGATGGGTATCTGAAAAATCATTATTTGGTCTGAAATAGAGCAGGATAAGGAGGAATGGCTGTCATACCCCCCCCCCCCCTACAAAAAATTTCATTTCCCTGGGGCTTATAAAAATACTAATAATTATGGTACTTACTGATCAAACCACCATTCCTCTAACGTTTCTTCTTGTTCTTCAACCATTGCATGGCACTAAATAATTAAAAATAAAAATGACAATTTGCACCACTACTTATGGCTAACTGCTTAAGAGGTAGTGTCAATCAATTATTAATAAAAATCATTGAAAATATAAGCCAAACAATGACATGAAAAAATAAAATTTTCTTCAGAAACATACCTCAGAAGCACTTTCATCACAAAGCCCTTCCATAATTTCAACTAATCTTGTTTCACTGGTAAAGGAAAAAAAAATACTTTTTTTTAATATAAGAATAAAAGCAAAGTCAACACTGCCCAATCAAGTACAACACAAGCACTCAAGAGAGCTTTGAAAGTCGTCAGACCATCATGACTCAACCAGTTGAATTAACAAATTCAAGAAGAAGAAGAGGAAAGAAACAAAAGAAGAACAAAAAAACTTTAAGAAGAAAACAGTGGAATCAGTTTGGTCTCAGAGACTGGTTGGAATTCGGCATCTACAATCTGCTTCCCTGACTGTCTTGCCGCTAGGGTTTTGAGGCCAGTGACTAGAACACATAGGGATGTTGTTTTATTAATAGAATAAGAACTCCATATCGCAGGTTAGAGCCTTTACAGAACATACCTATTTGCATAACTTCCTAGTTTTCTTTCCTCCCAGTCTGTGTTTCCCCCACCAAAGTTAGCTTTCTCTGTTTTATCTTTACCCTATGGTGTAAAATGAGAAACAGAACACCATGCAATGAATATAAATACTTAATATGACTCCCAGCTTCCACTGATTTATTCAAATAAGATAGTGTTGACTCCCTGCAACTTGTATTCACTTTTATTGGGATTAAAACTGCAAAAGTTGATCCTAGTTTTGATTGTTTGACTGTCAGAGTACTGGATGGCAGGCATGTATGCATGCATACAAGTCTGCATGTGTGCATCATGTTGTCAACACTTCAAATAAGAATGCATTTTTTTTTTTGATGACCCAGGTTAAGATCAGTGATCAAAGATCACTCAGATCATGGTGTGTTCCAGGAACAAATGAATCCACTCTGGTCACAGATTCAATGGCTCCTTTAATTTGATGCACTATGATCCAAGTTATCTCTGATCACTGACCCTGAACTAAGGATGCGTTCCTTTGAGATGACCCGGGTCTGGATCAGTGATCTAAGATCACTCAGGTCATGGTGCATCCCAGGAACTGATGAATCCACTCTGGTCATGGATTCAATGGCTCCTTTAATTTGATGCGCTATGATCCAAGTCATCTTAGACCACTGACCCTGACCATGATCATCCCAAAGAAGTGCACTCTAAAACTCACAGTTTTCACTTCTTGGGACACAAACCGGTAATGTCCACAGACTAACATCCAGGCATATTTTCAACCCAAATAAATAGTTATTGTTTTAACACTGAAAATTTCAGAACTCAGCTTGTCATCTGATTAAGAAGTGGCAAACAACTT